ATCACAGCTCACAGCAACCTCCAACTCCTAGGCTCAAGCGAGTCTCCTGCCTCAGCCTCCCAAGTAGCTGGGACCACAGGCGTCCGCCACTGGCAATTTTTTTGGTTGCAGCCGTCATTGTTGTTTTGGCGGGCCCAGGCTGGATTCGAACCCGCCACCTTAGGTGTATGTGGCTGGCACCTTAGCCACTTGACCCACAGGCTCCGAGCCAGTGTTTGCATTTTTTTAGGTAGAGTCCCTCTTATCATTGTGTCCTGCCCCCAAGAACTGTGCCATATCCCCTAACATTGTGCCTGTTAAGTGGGAGCATACCCCTCCCACCTTCCCTCCTTCCCTCACCCACTCCCTCGTTCTTCCCCCCATGAATTGATTTGAGTTTTTCTCTTACGTGGGTGTGTGTTAGATCATCTGTAGGCTTCATATTAGTGTAGAGTACATTGGATTCTTGTTCCTCCATTCTTCTTCTTTCTTTTTTTTTGAGACAGAGTCTCACTTCGTTACCCTTGGTAGAGTGCTGTGGTGTCATAGCTCACAACAACCTCAAACTCTTGGTCTCCAGGAGATTCTCTTGCCTTAGCCTCCCAAGTAGCTGGGACTATGGGTGCCCACTACAATGCCCAGGTATTTTTAGAGATGAGATCTCGCTCTGGCTCAGTTTGGTATTAAACCTGTGAACTCAGGCGATCCACCTGCCTTGGCTTCCCAAGTGTTGGGATTATAGGCGTGAGCCACCACTGGCCCCACTTTTTCCCCCCCACCCCCCTACTTTTTTTTTTTAATTAAAAACAGAAATTTAATTTCTCACTGTTCTGGAGGCTGAGAAGTCCAGAAATATAGCAAAGGCGGGCACATGGTGACAGCCTTGTTTGTGTGTTTTCATGTATTGAAAGGCAGAAGGACAAAAAGAGATTAACACTGTGTTCATGCGACAGAAGAAAAATAAAATAATGAACCCACTTCTGCAAGCCTTTTTTTTTGAGACAGAGTTTTAAGCTGTTGCTCTGGGTAGAGTGCTATGGAATCACAGCTCACATCAACCTCAAACTCTTGGGCTTAAGAGATTTTCTTGCCTCAGTCTCCCAAGTAGCTGGGACTATAGGCACCTGCCACAACACCTGGCTATTTTTTGTTGTTGTTGTCATTGTTGTTTACTGGCCCGGACTGGGTTCGAACCCACCAGCCTCAGTGTATGTGGTCGGTGCCCTACCAACTGAACTATGGGCTTCGTCCTCCTAAGCCTTTTTTATACCCTAATCCATTCATGGGGAAGAAACCCTCATGGCCTAATTACTTCTTCTTCTTTTTTCTTTTTTTTTTTAATTGTTTGGACTTCATTGAGGGTACAAAGAATTAGGTTACACTGATTGCGGTTGTTAGGTTAAGTCCCTCTTGTAACTGTGTTCCATCCCCCAGAGGTGTGCCATACACCATGACCACCCCATCTCCCTTCCTCCTCGCCTGTCCCTGATCCCTCTTTCCCCAACCTCTCCCCCCTTGTATTGCCTTCATATTAGATTTGAGTACATTGGATTCTTGCTCCTCCATTCTTAGGTTGCTAAGAAGAATGTGTTTCAGTTCCATCCAGGTTAATACAGCCCGAAGAATTATTGATGTACAAAATAGAGTCTACAAGGGATTGGGGCTGGCCTCTGTTCTTGGCAGGCTATTATCTGTTCTATCCGAGAACTCTTTTAGAAAAGAAAACAAAAATCCTCCACAAATTGAAGCACCAGTGAGTCCCCTATTCTATCTTGGGTAAAGGGATGTTAAAAACACATGCTCTAGGCTAATCAGTCCACTCTGCACCTTTTATTACTTGTTGATCAGGCCTTGGGCCATGTGTTACTTCCTCTGGGAGGCCTTCCCTCACTGATCTTTCCAAGGCATTATCTCCTCCACAGCACTGAGACTTCCTGAAATTACCTGAAGTGTAACTTTACTGTCTATCTCCTCACCTCTGTGCTATCTTGCTTTGTTCCAGTACACCTGGGACTTGGAGTGGTAGAAGCTCAATACTCATGTGCAGAGTGAATAAATACATTATTTCCTTTTTTTTTTTTTTTTTTTTTTTTTTTTGAGACAGAGCCTCAAGCTGTCCACCTGGGCAGAGTGCCGTGGCATTACAGCTCACAGCAACCTCCAACTCCTGGGCTCAAGCGAGTCTCCTGCCTCCGCCTCCCAAGTAGCTGGGACCACAGGCGCCCGCCACAACGCCCGGCCATTTTTTTGGTTGTAGCCGTCATTGTTGTTTGGCGGGTCCGGGCTGGGGATTCGAACCTGCCACCTTAGGTGTACGTGGCTGGCGCCTTAGCCGGTTGAGCTATAGGCGCCGAGCCTACATTATTTCCTTTAATCCTCATTTAAAAAATCCTTTTTTTTTTTTTTTTAGGACACATTAAAATTTGCTTTATTACTTCTTTGGGGAAAAAAAATCACACTTTTAGTGAATGAACAAAAAGCATTTTTATAGTAGCAGTAGGCTATTATTCTTATCTACCATGCCATGAATTCATAGGGAAGAGGTTCCAGTAGCTCAGGGAGGCACCTTGCCATTGAATGTGACAAAGCGTTGATTGACTTTTGAATTCATAGGAAATAGCTTCCAGCACCTTGTATCATCACTGTTACATGGGGTCTATTGGTTATCCTGTGTGCTATGCTGTACACCTATTATGCCATGAGCTCATGGGGAATAAATAGGTTCTTGCACCTAAAAACATGGGTCCACTGGTACTCCTGTGTGCTATGTTATATGCTTTTTATGCCATGAATTCATAGGGAATGGGTTCTAGGAGCTCAGGCTGCTTTCCGTTGGTTCTCACAAAGTGGGCTTCTCTGGGTGGAGCAGGCTGGCGCTTCAGTTGAACCCAGGTACCTTTCTCTTTGGCTTTCTTCTTTTTCTGATCATTTTCCTTCACACGTTTCAGGAAGCTATCTCGGCTCTTAGAGTGCTTAATATGCTCAATATGAACATTAATCTTTTTGGTAAGAATCTTGCCAAAACTTGTTTGTTTATAATGATGCCAACAGCATGCTGGGTAACACTGTAGACTCTTCCAGTTTTGCCATGGTAACATTTATGCAGCATGCCTTTTTGAACAGTACCCATTCCTTTGATCTACAATATCACCTTTCTTATAGATTTGCATATATGTGGCCAAAGGAACAACTCCATGTTTTCTAAAAGACCTAGAAAACATGTATCGGGTGCCTCTCCTCTTTCCCTTTGTGTTTGTCATTTTGGTGAATTACTAGAGGATGACCTCCCTGGCCAAAAGGCTAAAAAACTCTTAGGAGAGATGTTATTATTCACTTACAAGAAAGAAATTAAATTCAGAAAGTTTGTTGTGTAACATCCTATGATCACAGTATGCCTAGTAGAATGGTAGTATGATTGAGAATGTGGGCTTTGCAAATTCAACGCTAAGTATTTAATTCTTGTTGGATGAATGCATGAATGAATTTCTAGCATAAGTATTACATTTCTGGCAAAATATAACTACTGTCTTTACTGTAGGGTAGAGAATGCACAAATTTCTATTTCTTACTAGGGCATTTGGCCGGTCCTTTTTTCTTTTTTGTAATTTTCATTCTGCTGTCAAAGGAGTGGGATTTATTTGGTAGTCCTGCAATAATGATGGTATGGGCTTCAGCACTGAATTCTCTCCTTCATCAAGCATAGTTGCAAACCTTTGAGGTCAAATGGTCCTAGTTTTTGTCAACTTTAATTGACTAATATAGGACTAGAGCCCCTATGAGTGGTTCTGAATGGGAAGGTGTGGGGTGGAGTGGTGGAGTAAATGATAAAATTATACCTATATCATGAATATGGATCTGGGAAAATCACCAATTTTTTTCTTGCTTTGATATCTTCTAATCTTAACTGCAAATAGAGTTGTTTGGTTTTTTTTTTTTTTTTTTTGGCCAGGGCTGGGGTTTGAACCCACCACCTCTGGCATATGGGGCCAGCACCCTACTCCTTGAGCCACAGGCACCACCCCTTAATTGCAAATAAGGAGTAAACCTTCCCACCAGCTTCACTGACCTTAGCAGCATTAAACATGGTAGTGATGAATCAAGTACTCTGCCTCCTTGCTAAAAAAAGAAAAAGACTAAAAATCAGAGGACCTCTGTAAGAGTTGTGGGCTACTCCTGTGACTTATTAGCTTTTTCTAGTTTATTTTCCTTTACATTAGAGATTGTCTGCTTGAATGTAAAATTGATCATATTCTGATCTTCTGTTTTCAGTTGCAGTTCCTGTAGAGAAAACAGTATCCAGTGAAAAAGCATCAAGTACTCCATCTGCTGAGACTCAAGAAGAATTTGTAGATGACTTTCGAGTTGGGGAGCGAGTTTGGGTGAATGGGAATAAGCCTGGATTTATCCAGTTTCTTGGAGAAACCCAGTTTGCACCAGGCCAATGGGCTGGGATTGTTTTAGATGAACCTATAGGCAAGAATGATGGTTCAGTGGCAGGAGTTCGATACTTCCAGTGTGAACCTTTAAAGGGCATATTTACCAGACCTTCAAAGTTAACAAGGAAGGTGCAAGCAGAAGATGAAGCTAACGGCCTACAGACAACTCCTGCTTCCAGAGCTACTTCACCTCTGTCTGCTTCTGCAGCAAGCATGGTGCCCTCCTCCCCGGCACCCACCTCAAGTATTCCCTATAAGCTGTCCCAGTCAGCAGCAAAGGAGCCTTCAAGTACGTCTCAGATCAGCAACCTTACAAAAACTACTAGTGAATCTATCTCTAACCTTTCAGAGGCTGGCTCAATCAAGAAAGGAGAAAGAGAACTCAAAATTGGAGATAGAGTATTGGTAAGTGGAGAAACTTCCTAAAGTCTTTGTGTTGAGCTGAGATATAATCACTGATGAGTGGTTGAAATATACACATGGGGAACTCCTGGGTTCAGAGTCTGTTCTGGAGGGATGGCCACTTATTTATGCATGAAGAGAAATTAATCAGCTTTTCTAGTTCAGTTTATGTGTAAATATGCAACAAATTAGAAACTGGCTATGTAGTTTGTATATATATATATAATAGATTTGCAATAATCTAGTTTTACCTACCAGTTTAGCCAAAAGAATATTGAGTTTATTATAACTTATAAATATTAAAGTAACCTTTTTTGACAAAGCAAGCTCAAAAGTGGACTTAGATGTGTTTACGAAAATTTGATTTCTCTCTCCTCTCTCTCTTTTTTTTTTTTTTGGTAGACACAGAGTCTCACTTTATCAACCTTGGTAGACTACCATGGCATCACAGCTTACAGCAACCTCCAACTCCTGGGCTTAGGTGATTCTCTTGCCTCAGCCTCCCAAGTAGCTGGGACTACAGGTGCTTGTCAAAACGCCTGGCTGCTTTTTTGTTGTAGTTTGGCCAGAGCCAGGTTTGAATCCACCACCCTTGGCGTATGGAGCCAGTGCACTACTCACTGAGCCACAGGCACTGTCCTCTCCTCTCATTTTTAATTTTTGTTTTAATTAGTGTGTGGGTATATATAAGATCCTGTGTCCTTAGATGTCTTGGAAAACTCAAGACATCAGAGGATGTTATTTTAGAATTTCTGGGTCATTTATTTTTATTTATTTATTTATTTATTTTTTTGAGACAGAGCCTCAAGCTATCCCCCTGGGTAGAGTACTGTGGCATCACAGCTCACAGCAACCTCCAACTCCTGGGCTCAAGCGAGTCTCCTGCCTCAGCTTCCCAAGTAGCTGGGACCACAGATGCCTGCCACAACGCCTGGCTATTTTTTGGTTGCAGCCGTTATTGTTTGGCGGGTCCGGGCTGGATTCAAACCCACCACCTTAGGTGTATGTGGCTGGTGCCTTAGCCACATGAGCCACAGGCGCCGAGCCTGGGTCATTTAAATGATCAAATTTAGACTTAAGAAAAAGAAGGAAATGTACGGTAGTTTCTGTTTTACTAATGAGCAGGAAACAAAAGGTCTATATGCTGTACTTTCTAGAACCTCTGAATTTACAACGTAGTATTTGATTTTTTTTTTTTTTTTTGAGACTGAGTCTCACTATGTTGCCCTTTGTAGAGTGCTGTGGAGTCACAGATCACAGCAACCTCAAACTCTTGGGCTTATGCTATTCTCTTGCCTCAGCCTCCCAAGTAGCTGGGACCACAGGTGCCCGCCACGTCTCGTGGCTATTTTTTCTGTTGTTGTTGTTGCAGTTGTTTTAGCTGGCCCGACCCAGCCACTCTTGGTGTATGTATGTGGCTGGCTTCAAAACCACTGTGCTACAGGCACTGCACCATAGTGATTGATTTTTTTTATTGGTTATTTTTTGAGAGAATCTCACTTTGTCACTGGGCTAGAGTGCCATAGCATCGTAGCTCACAGCAACCTCAAACTCCTGGGCTGAACTGATCTTCCTGCCTCAGCCTCCCAAGTAGCTGGACTACAGTGAGATGGGTTCTTACTCTTGCTCTGGATGGTGTTAAACTCCTGAGCTCAGGCAGTCTACCTGCCTTTGCCTCCCAGAGTGCTAGGATTACAGGTGTGAGCCACTGCGTCTAGCCCTGATTTTTTTCTTTAAATTAAAAAAGGGACGGTATAACATAATGCTAAGAACTCAGGCTGAGTCCTAGCTTTACCTTTGTGACCTCAGCAAGATGTTTAACTTCCTAGTTTCCTAATATGTAAAATTGAGGTTAATAATAATACTTCATTGCTTTCTTGTGAGGATTAAATTAGATAATGCCTATAAAATTTATAGCAGTGCCTGATTCAGAGTAGACACTCAGGAAATAATAGCTATTTTTCTCATTTTTTTAGAACTATAGTATCATTTTAATACATAGACACACACACACACACACACACACACACACACACATACACATATCTTTTGGAGACAAGTTCTTGGTATATTGCCCAGGCCAGACTCAAACTCCTGTGCTGTGAACCTCCCACTTTAACCTTTCGAGTAGCTGGGACTGTAGGCATATGCCTCACTGCCTGGCTTTTGCTGAATATTTAATATTTCACTCTTTCAACACTTCAGTGTAGTTCAAGGTGCTTAGTTTGCTAGAAATGGTTAACCTTGTGGTCTGTCAGTTTCCTTTATATCTATTCAACAGCTATAAAATTCCTTTAGACCTGATGGCTTCCAATAATATATTAGAAAAACAAGAAACATGGTTAGCCCTTAGGGTGTACCACTTGTCTTATTTATTGTTTCAGCAATGTGATGGAGTAACCCCATATAACTGATGAAGGAAACTGAGGACCTGTAAGATGAAGTTACTTGCCCAAGGTCTCAGTGGTGTTATCTGTAGTTTATATTTAGGTATTTTTATTCCAGACCCTGCTGTGTAAAGCTGATGATGGAGAGTATAATGTTAAAATTGGAAGTATTCTTTTTAATTTTGTTGTCTTCAAATAAGCAATATGAGACCCAGAGAAATGAAGTTAACTATCTATGGCTGTATTGTGAAATTATGACAGATTTCCACAATTATAATCTGGGACTTTGGCCAGTCTTGGTGGTTTATGTCCGTAATCCTGGCACCCTGGGAGGATGAGGTGGGTGGATTGCTTAATCTCATCCAAACTAGCCTGAGTAAGAGCAAGACCCTGTCTCTACTAAAAATAGAAAACCTAACTGGATGTTCTGGTAAGTGCCTGTAGTCCCAGCTACTTGAGAGGCTGAGGCAAGAGGATCTCTTGAGGCCAAGAATTTGAGATTGCTGTGAGTTACAATGTCATGGCACTCTACCGGGGATGACAAAGTGAGACTCTGTCTCCAAAAAAAAAAAAAAGAAAAGAAAAAAGAATCTGGGACTTTTATTTCTCCATCCCGTAATATCATGAATCCAAGAGACCTCACATGCCTGAAGGAGCCCTTTAATATCTGTTACCTTTTAGGATTTCCTTCTGGATCCCTTAGCTTCAAGGTTAGTAGGTTTCCTCTTTTCTTCTTTTTTTTTTTTTTTTTTTT